GGGCGGGGCCGGGCAGGACAGGGTGGGGCCGGGCGAGCGGCGGGCGCGGCTCCAGCGGGGAGGCCCCGCTTGCCGGCGGCCCGAAGGGGCGGCTCAGACACGGCAGTGCCCGCCCCCGCCCCCTGTTCCCGCCCCTCTCCCGGGCGTTTCCCGGCTCGGTGCGGACCTGTTCCCGGCGGGATGGCTTGGGATTCGGACGAGGGTCCGTGTCGGGCTCCCGGGCTGCGGGGGAGCCAGGACTCCGTGAAGGGCTGGTGGTCCCAGACTGCTGAGGGCGGGAGGCAGTGGCCCTTGTTAGGCTGGGGGTCCTGGTCCGGTCTCGGGCCGGGCAGGGGATTAGGGGTTCCATGTAGGAGGGGCTGCTGGCAGTGGCGCAGAAGTTACACAGAAGACAACCATTAATGAACATCAACTCCAGGCATCACCCCTCGCATAGGAAATCAAATACTAAGAACTGTGCAACTTGGCACCAATGAACATCGAACCAATGAATTTCTATGTGTTTTGAATATAACTTTGTATATAAAGTATGTGAAAAATCTAGTAAAATTCATATGTCATTGAATGACTTTCTCTGCACAAACCAGGACACGTGTGGATGAAACGATTTCTGTTGCACATCCTGACCAGAACAAAATCGTGGCCAGAATAAAGTTATGCCTCGATTCTCTAACACTACAAATGTTGTTGGAGAGTTTTTTTTTGTTTTTCCTGCAGTTTTGGTGACAAGCCCAGTCACACGGCACATTCCACGGCTCCAGCAGTTCCCAGCTGTTTTTCTACTTCTGCAGAGCATGGGCCAGGCCAGGAAGAGACAGGCAATAGGAAAACCACCTGCCTGGCCCTGGCTACTGCATCCCCCGCACCGGAGCCATGCCAGAGGTGTCTGTTCCTGCTCCCCCTGCTCCAGCCCAACCAGCTGCCCTGGCCTGGCAGCCCTGGCCTCCTTCCAGCCACAGACAGAGGGGCAAACGAGCCCCCCTGGCCATAGCCAGGGGCTGGGGTGCTGTCGGGGCAGCGTGCCCCATGTCCAGTTTGGGGATGGACTCTTTAAGTGGGATGGGATTTGCATGGGACGATGTCCTGGATCTGTCTGGATGGCCAGGATTAAGGTGGCCAGACAGGGCTAATCACATTAACAAGCATCTGCTGCTGGTCTGGTGCCTGGGAGGTCAGGGAGCCTTGGTGTCTCTGGGCTGGAGCCCCGCTCACCATCCCTTCACCTGGGCACGCTGGTGTGCTGTTCCTGCAGACGAGGTGAAGCAAGGCCCTGCTGTGGGCAGTTGGATTTTCCCGAGGCCAGGAACGCCACAGGAGGACTGTGGCACTGAGGGCAGCTTGCAGGTCCCAGCATGCTCACTGTGCCCCAGCAGGGAGCTGGAAGGAGTTAGGGAAAGAAGGAGCAGAGGGGACCCCAGGAACACCATCAGGGAGTAGGGTGGCCCTTTCTCCCCCTCTGCCCCAGCTGTGCTGGCTTATCCTTACGCCTGCAGTGCCAGGAGCCCTGTCGGAGCAGGGGGACGGAAGCTGCTCCCCTGGTCCTGGAGCGCTGCCAGCAGGGTTAGGCAAGCCTTGGGGGGCTGTGCAGAGTAGGCTGGGGCTGTGCAGGACTGGCTACGGGCTGTTTGGAATCTGAGAGCTGAGGACAGGGAGTAAACAGGTTGGTTTGGGGAATAACAAAAAACAGTAAAGCAGGGAAGGCAGGATGGAAGTGGCTGATCAGATGTAGGTGGCTGATGGTCACTGCGTTGGTCTGGCCACATCCAACACCTGACAGCTGCACAGCCACTCCTGGTTCTCAAACGCTGTAACTGTTTCCCAGGGTTGGTGGGGGGTCCTGTTTGGTGAGGGGGGTATGTGTGGCGTCAGGTCACAGCATTTGGAGATCAGCCAAGAGCTCTGTGTGTGTGTGTCTGTGTCTGTGTCTGTGTGTGTGTGTCTGTGTCTGTGTCTGTGTGTGTGTGTCTGTGTCTGTGTCTGTGTGTGTGTGTCTGTGTCTGTGTCTGTGTGTGTGTGTCTGTGTCTGTGTCTGTGTGTGTGTGTCTGTGTCTGTGTCTGTGTGTGTGTGTCTGTGTCTGTGTCTGTGTGTGTGTGTCTGTGTCTGTGTCTGTGTGTGTGTGTCTGTGTCTGTGTCTGTGTGTGTGTGTCTGTGTCTGTGTCTGTGTGTGTGTGTCTGTGTCTGTGTCTGTGTGTGTGTGTCTGTGTCTGTGTCTGTGTGTGTGTGTCTGTGTCTGTGTCTGTGTGTGTGTGTCTGTGTCTGTGTCTGTGTGTGTGTGTCTGTGTCTGTGTCTGTGTGTGTGTGTCTGTGTCTGTGTCTGTGTGTGTGTGTCTGTGTCTGTGTCTGTGTGTGTGTGTCTGTGTCTGTGTCTGTGTGTGTGTGTCTGTGTCTGTGTCTGTGTGTGTGTGTCTGTGTCTGTGTCTGTGTGTGTGTGTCTGTGTCTGTGTCTGTGTGTGTGTGTCTGTGTCTGTGTCTGTGTGTGTGTGTCTGTGTCTGTGTCTGTGTGTGTGTGTCTGTGTCTGTGTCTGTGTGTGTGTGTCTGTGTCTGTGTCTGTGTGTGTGTGTCTGTGTCTGTGTCTGTGTGTGTGTGTCTGTGTCTGTGTCTGTGTGTGTGTGTCTGTGTCTGTGTCTGTGTGTGTGTGTCTGTGTCTGTGTCTGTGTGTGTGTGTCTGTGTCTGTGTCTGTGTGTGTGTGTCTGTGTCTGTGTCTGTGTGTGTGTGTCTGTGTCTGTGTCTGTGTGTGTGTGTCTGTGTCTGTGTCTGTGTGTGTGTGTCTGTGTCTGTGTCTGTGTGTGTGTGTCTGTGTCTGTGTCTGTGTGTGTGTGTCTGTGTCTGTGTCTGTGTGTGTGTGTCTGTGTCTGTGTCTGTGTGTGTGTGTCTGTGTCTGTGTCTGTGTGTGTGTGTCTGTGTCTGTGTCTGTGTGTGTGTGTCTGTGTCTGTGTCTGTGTGTGTGTGTCTGTGTCTGTGTCTGTGTGTGTGTGTCTGTGTCTGTGTCTGTGTGTGTGTGTCTGTGTCTGTGTCTGTGTGTGTGTGTCTGTGTCTGTGTCTGTGTGTGTGTGTCTGTGTCTGTGTCTGTGTGTGTGTGTCTGTGTCTGTGTCTGTGTGTGTGTGTCTGTGTCTGTGTCTGTGTGTGTGTGTCTGTGTCTGTGTCTGTGTGTGTGTGTCTGTGTCTGTGTCTGTGTGTGTGTGTCTGTGTCTGTGTCTGTGTGTGTGTGTCTGTGTCTGTGTCTGTGTGTGTGTGTCTGTGTCTGTGTCTGTGTGTGTGTGTCTGTGTCTGTGTCTGTGTGTGTGTGTCTGTGTCTGTGTCTGTGTGTGTGTGTCTGTGTCTGTGTCTGTGTGTGTGTGTCTGTGTCTGTGTCTGTGTGTGTGTGTCTGTGTCTGTGTCTGTGTGTGTGTGTCTGTGTCTGTGTCTGTGTGTGTGTGTCTGTGTCTGTGTCTGTGTGTGTGTGTCTGTGTCTGTGTCTGTGTGTGTGTGTCTGTGTCTGTGTCTGTGTGTGTGTGTCTGTGTCTGTGTCTGTGTGTGTGTGTCTGTGTCTGTGTCTGTGTGTGTGTGTCTGTGTCTGTGTCTGTGTGTGTGTGTCTGTGTCTGTGTCTGTGTGTGTGTGTCTGTGTCTGTGTCTGTGTGTGTGTGTCTGTGTCTGTGTCTGTGTGTGTGTGTCTGTGTCTGTGTCTGTGTGTGTGTGTCTGTGTCTGTGTGTCTGTGTGTGTGTCTGTGTGTGTGTGACCAAACATGGATAAGCAGAGCCAAAGCTACTGGGCAGACTGGTGGGATCACTGGAGCACTGGGATCCCCCAGTGCATGTCTGTGTGTGCTGGTGGCTGTGATGAGGCCGTGGCTTGGGGAACTTGTATGTCCAGGTGTCCTCAGTGGGGATCCTGGGAATGTGAGGTCTGCTGGGCAGTGGCGTGTCCGGGGGTGTCTGCTGCAGCTCTGGGTCCCTGCACAGTCCCACCCACAGCCCTCACCAGAGCAAGGGCAGCACGATGGGATGGGGTTGCTTGTGGCATGTGGGACCAGCTGTGTGCACCTGTGGAGACATCTGCCACAGCTGTGTTGGCACGTATGCCTGTATGGAATCATAGCCTTGCTGCTGACCATGCCCAGTACCAGGGCCATGGTCCTGCTGTAGCTTCTCATGGAAAGGACTTGGCAGGATGCAGCCATGGATGCGGGTGCTGGAGCCTGGCCAGGCCCACGTGAGCCCTCCATGGTGCAGGTCCAGTACCCCCCCCAGTCCCTGTCAGTCCCATGGGAACATGGTGCCAGCCTGGCATGAGCCCATGGCAGCAGGGATGGGGCTGTGTCTGTACAAATGTGTGGTTTATTAAGGCATTTTTTGAGACGTTGGCACTTGGGTTCAGGCTGCACCCGGTGGCCCCTGTGTGGCCACGGGCAGCGCTGGTACATGCAGCTCCACGAGACACAATACAAAAAGTACAAATGAGTAAAAACAGGAATTGTAGTACAATGTGTAAAAATAAATAACTGGGGGCTCAGCGACCCCAGCCCAAAGCAGGGTGCATGTGTCTGACCCTTCCTGTGGTGTGCAGGGTGAC